TTCAGGGTTTTAAAGAATTAGCAGATGCAACAGACCTTGCAGCAAAACAGTTCTGCAGGTTCTTCACTGGTGGACTTGTCCTCGTCACTGCATCATCCGTAGGTGGAACCTTCGCGTCCAAAAATCCAACACTCGTGACGTCTGAAGCTCCGAGGTTTTTATATTATGTTTCTGTCAATTTCCGAAATAATTACTTGATCCTTTTGTTGTTATGTTGCTCCCTTTTGACTCTCAACTATGTTTTCTTTCTTTGTGGCTACTTTGAGCTTTGCTACCGTTATTCTCAACACGAGAAAATATATGACTAGTTTCTCAGTGGTAAGTATGAGAATGTTCTACAAATTCCTTACCATATATGTAGAGTAGTTATAAAGTTCACTTAAGATAAACGATCGAGTCAGTGGTTCATGTCTATGTCGATGATAGTTATCCTCACTGTCACCCTACTCCTACTCCTTCTCATGCTTCTAGTTTACCACAAGCACCTGCCTCTAGATGATTGAATTCGAATAAGCAAATCCCCCAACCCAATTTCGTATGTCAGTTACTAGATTATCTAAATGTTTTCCCGCCATGAGACTATACCAACGAACGAGTGTTTTGTATCATCTCAAATGTACGAAGCAAAATACTTCTTTTATCCAATGCATCGCACGCCTCTAAGCTTGATGATAAACAATTAAAGGTATATTTTTCTTGTCAATGGAGGATGAACTAGTTTCTTTAATATCTGTTGTTTTCCTTGTTGTCTTCACAGTTGCAACGAATACGATCCACGTGAACTGAACATTCTATAGATATATAAGATGTTTGTCTTTAAACAGAAATCATCTTTGAAAGGATGTGGATCTTGTTTGTTCAGCAATAAACAGAAATCAAGAAAAAAAAATTTGTTCAGCAATAAACTTTTTCTTGGCGGCGAGTAGCAATCGCAACTGTTTCACGGCGGAGTTAAATCAAAGATTTTTCTCATTTTTGCCCTTTGGGCCTTATTTTTATTGAAATCTTCGACGTAAAAGCATCCACAATGACCCATTAAAGGCCCATTAGTTTTATGTATTTGTATTACCATTTAAATTTTGGGACCCACAGGTGGCATTAAAGCACAAAACGCACAAAGATCATCTTGTATGCATCTTATCTTCATTTTAGGGTCATCATATTTTTACAAGTTTTTGAGGGGACCAATTTTTTTTTAGATATTATTTGCTTCGATCATACACTTCTCTCAGTTTACGTTATCTTTGTCTACGTTTATGGTTAATACAAATCTAAAATTTTAAAATAAAGTTAAACACAATATTTTGCAATTGTGAAATTAGTCAATATGAAGGGTGTGTGAGAGTAAAGCCATTTTGTATATATTAAAAAACTCTAAAATTCAAGATTATCTAAAGAAAAACACTGAATTCCAAAATGCAAAATCAAGTGCGCTTTATCTAGCTTCTTGTATAAGTACAAACACGATCTCAATCTCTTCTTCCACCAAGCTTTCTTCATTAGATATTTATTCTCTTAACAATTGAAAGCAAAACAAAACATTTTATTTTCTTGATTAAAGAAAGGTAAAGAAATGGAGGAAACAAAAGAGAGAACGATTGTAGTAGCAGTGGACGAAAGTGAAGAGAGCATGGAAGCTCTTTCGTGGAGTCTTGACAATCTTTTTCCATATGGTTCCAATAATACCCTCATTCTCCTCTACGTCAAGCCTCCTCTTCCCGTTTATTCTTCTCTCGATGCCGCAGGTTAGTCTCGTCATTTTGCAACATTTGTTGATCAACTACTCTTATGATTCGTTGTTTGATTTCCAGGGTTTATAGTGACCGGGGATCCAGTTGCGGCCTTGGAGAAATACGAACAGGACCTGGTGGAATCTGTCATGGCTCGATCTCGAACGGTTTATCAAGATTTTGAGTCCGATGTAAGCTTATTTATATGGATTAAGTTTAGATAACAATATTTGAAAAAATATGGAAATTCAATGAAATTCAGTCGTTATAAGTAAAATTCTACTTGTGTCAATTTGTTTTGAAATATAATAAAATTGGCGGTCTTAGGACAATATATCAGTAATATATGGAGTAGAAGTGCTTATAGTGTATTGTTAATGTGCAGATTAATATAGAGAGAAGAGTTGGAAGAGGAGATGCGAAAGAAGTTATATGCAACGCAGTTCAGAAACTTAGGGCTGATATGTTAGTAATGGGCACACATGACTATGGTTTCTTCAAAAGGTAATTAAGGCATCAATCTTTCTTCACACAATATTTTGAATTAATTATGGTTATTGGTTTCGGTTTACATTGTGTATGTTTCATTGAACTAGGGCTTTGCTAGGGAGTGTAAGCGAGTATTGTACCAAACGAGTCAAGTGTCCGGTGATTATCGTGAAGAAGCAACCACAAAATAGTTGAGAAGATAACGCTTATTGTTTTATATGTTTCAAAGCAATGTAACAGCTAAATGAATCAATCTTCGTATGCAACTCAAAAAGTATAATGGCTAAAATAATTGAATTAATGGATTTTTCCAGACTTTATATAACGTTTAGTTTGTGGCGGATTTTTAAATTAGCTATATAACAAAAATATATATATTTAAAAAAACTTATACCATCGACGTATCGCGGATATTCATCAATTAGTTTTCAAATATAATCGTGCCCTTCAAAGAAGGCCCAATACTCAGGCTGATGATAAAACGAAACCGTTTTGACCAAAATTGTTTAATCGTACAAAAGCCCCGATACTATCTATTATTTACAAAACTCCCTCCAGACAAGACGACGCCGTTTCGATCGCCGTGAAAATTTCTTGCCTTTTGTAATTCAATCTTCAATTACAAAACTCTCTGGAC